TTTTTTTTCCATCTCAATTGTAATCCCAGTGGGCTTCCCATCACCACATCACCCGTGTGCCACCACCATAATCCCGTACACTTCCCTCCCCACCCCCCGTTTTTGATCCCATTCCCCACTCCACCCCCACAAAATGTCTCTGGTATATGGTTGTTCATTATTTTTGTTATTTTCTCGCCTGGTCCATTGTACTCCTGCTATGAGTGAAACCATCCAGTATTTTTCTTTCTCTTTCTGGCTTATCTCGCTAAGCATGTTCTTTTCCAGCTCCATTCAAGTTGCTGCAAAAGACATGTGTTTCTCTTTTTTGGTTGCTGAGTAATATTCCAAACTATCCTTTTAATGTTTGTAAGTCCATCCACAAACCTCACCATGGACTGATTTGCAGACCAAGATCTGGGCACTCGCTGGTGGATCAGAAACAATTGTTCATTTCTTTTAGGGATCTACCCCCAGGGAGAACAATATGAAGCAAACATAGGGGCCAAAGCCATTGGAAGCCACTGCAGCACAAGTTTGTTCCCCAGCAGGGAGCTGACTGACCCACATGGTGCTGCAAACCTTTCCTGTCTCACCCACTGCTCCCTATAGAAGTATATTTCAGAACATCTGCCTGTTCTGCTCCCCACTCTGTCTCTGGTAAATCCTCTTACCCTCTTCCCCACCTCTGGCCTGTACCCCAGTTCTGTATGCATAAATAAATAAACCTTAAAAAAATAAAAGATGAAGCAAATGTGAATAAGCAGAGAGAGGAAGTGCAAAGGAAAAGTAAAGTGGGGTACATTAGAGGGCTGCTCTAATGTGGGCTAGCTGAGCAGAGACTGCTCTAGGAGACAGAGCCTGGCCAAAGGGTGGCCCAAGGCAGGCAGTTTAAGAATCAAAGGTCAGGCATGATTTGCACTACAAATGCATACACTCCCCCCTTGTTCTGGTAATCTTTTCACTACATCAGCTATTTTAGGAAAGCAAGGTACGGGGGAGGTCTAGTTCCAAACGTAGACAAATTGGGTGGGTAGTAGGTGGGGTTAAATTAGAAGTTCTTAAATGTTGAATTCAGGGGAGTTTAGAGATTGGTGAACAGCTCCTAGAGATGACTTTTAGACACATCCTTGAGGAGGCCAGTGTCTGATTCCTTGTCACCCTTGTTTCCCAGTTAACAGCAGAAGTTGAGCAGAGAAGCTGTTCGAAACCAGCCAAACAGTAATGATTTCCATAATTGTCATGAACTGTTATGAACTCGAGAATGCTGTTTTTCTTTTTTTATGCATACAAAACTGGGGTACAGGCCACAGGTGCAGGAGTGGCGAGAGGATTCACCAAGAGTGAGGAGCAGAACAAGTGAAACACCCTGCTGAGAGAAGCAGCCGGTAGGTCACCCTGTCCATCAGTTCCCTGGCCTGGGTATCAAACTCGTGCTGAAGTGGCTGCCAGTAGCTTCTTGCACTGCTACGCTTTTTAACCCATTGCGCCACCAGGGAGGGCTGGTCTTTTTGATGCCTTCCCTTCCTATCACCACTGAGCTGTGGGGGTCAGTTCCCCTGGCCCTTGAATCTGGCCTGATCTTAACCAGGATGCAGTGGAAATGATAATTCAGTGCCTGGTCATTAGTAGGTAGCTCATAAAGGCTGACTGATGCCAGAGTGAAAGACTATGTCATAAACACTAATATGGATCTTCCTAACATCAAGGGCAACTTTGCCTGTAAATTATCTGGAGCCAGGTGTCTTACTTAGGACAGTAGGTTGTGTCATTTCTACCATGGAGTCCTCTAAGAGTCACGTGTCAATGAAAAAAATGTCAGTTAACTGCTTTTGGCATTTCAGGCCTCCAGGGCTGCACAGGCCGTTGCTCCAGTGCTGCGAGTGTTGATGTGAAGTTAGTGTCTTGCCCAAGGTTGGTGACCAGTCCAGAACTCTTTTCCCTTTACTTACTATGGATCCTTTCCATTTCAGGGCCATTCAGCATGGATAGGTTGCTTACTAGTCTCTTTCACAAAGGGGTTAGGCAAAATCTGGAGAGTTTCTACAGGTCAAGCAAGACCAACAGCGGGACACAGAGGTTGTGTGTGGAAACAGTGCTGTGTGATGGTCTATTCTCATCATGATTCTGGCTCTGAAATGGTGGTTATGATGAAAAGCACCTTTCATTAATGGTAACAGATCTACTGTGATGCGATTTAGCTTTCCTGTTGTGGAGGTTAGAGTTTACCCCATACACTAGGCCTTTCTTATCTTTCACTGCCCTTAAGGCACAAGCATCCTTTTCCTGACTTGCTTTACTGCTATTTGGTGATACCTAATAGTTTAGTTTTGGTGTTCCGTTAGTTTAGCAAGTCTGAGGATACGGAATTAGGTTAGTCATGCATCTTGAATTACTTTTAAGTCTCAAAGGAGGGCTTTCCCTGGTGGTGCAACAGGTTACAGCACAGCATTATGAAGCTATTGGCCGCAAGTGCAGCATGAGTTTCATCCCTGGCCAGAGAGGTGACCCACATGGCGCTTCTCCTGTCTTGCCTGCTGCTTCCCTCAGCAGTGTAATTCAATCTGCTCCCCACGCTGTCTCTGGTGAATCCTCTCACACCTCTGGTTTGTACTCCAAAATAAATACTAAAAATAAAAGTCTCAAGGGAGTGATGACATATAGATACTAATTACACAATTTACGACTTCAATTCCTTCCTTTCTTGCCTTTAAAATAACCAAGTTTGCTCACAAGACTCATGCAAGCAGTTCCACACTCGTTTTATTGAGTCAAAAATCAGACTATAGGAAAATGGCATGTTGTTTTCACTGCTCTGTCCAAGCAGTCAATTTTAGTGCGTTGTTGTGAGATGCTACCAGCCAGAGAACCCTGTCTACATAGCATGCAAAGACGGTATGTGCAGCTTGGAAGGATTTAAGGGACATGTTTACTCTGCACAGGGACCAGAGTAATGGGTTGCCCCTCCCAGTGCCCTTGTACAAGCAGGGTTAGTGGGTTTCAATGTATTTTAGAGCAAACAAACAAACAAAAAAATTAATCAATTTTTTCCTATGAAAAAAATTATAGGCAAGACCATGGGGGAAGAGCGGAGAAACCCAGATGTGCAAGCTCTGAAACCCACAGCTGTGCCTGCACATCTCAAAACAAATCTGTTTCCAAGAATGGAGGTTTCTGTTTTCATATTTAAATCCTGAATTATGTAAAACTATCTTTATTTTCAAAGTGAGAATCTGGTTTAGGATACTTAAATGCCACGTCTGATACTTGTAAGACATGTAGTGAGAAATTTTTCTCTATACAGGGATCGAGAATTTTTTCTCTATACAGGGATCTAGTGGGACTTCCACCCAATAAGATGGCAAAAGGAAACTAGATTAAGCAACAAAAATATTTGTATGAATGTTCTGAAGTCAGTTAACACACCACATTCTACTTGCCTTACATGAGAAAAAAAAATCATGTGTGAATTTTAGAAGTGGGATTTAATTCCATATTACCACCAAAACACATTAAATTTCTTTTATATAAAAATCTAGACTGAAAAAAATGTAGCCAGCAGGAAAAGCAGCATTTTGGCCAGAATGTATCAATAATATTAACAAAAAACCCGACAAAAACCCGACAAAGTTAGTAGGCCTCTCAGGGTCCAATCATAAGTTGTTTTTTTTTTTAATCTGATGGTTTTCTACAGTGGCAGACATGACATGGGAAGAAATACATGACCCATAAAACAGCAGTACCTCCTCATAAACTGGTAGATTCTCAAGTTCCTTGTATTTCTATTTGGCTGTCAACTATTTGAAAATATCCAAAAAATAAAGACTTCCTCCTTCTTCACCCTCATAGTTTTGACTAAGGAAGTTTCTAATTCTAACATGTAACAAATTACAAGCACATTTCAAGTCTAGTCTATTCAATTAAAATTGGGCTCATAAGTGAAGTTAAAGGAGACCCATGAAGTCTCATTTAATTACTTGTCAAGAAGGGGCTAAATTATAAAAAGGCATCACACCCAACTCAAGTTAACTGTCAAGTACCGAAGTGACAGCTCTAAATGCCTGATATAGCCAAAACTTTTAGTTTAGCCAAGTTGAGTCAAGCTCATCTGGGGTGGCTGAGGGTGCTCCCAACAGTAAAAATTGAGATCCAATTTTTTTCTCGCTCCACTTACATCATTCAGATTTTTTTTTGTCTGAGGACTGGATGCTTTTAAGCTGGGATATTTTAGCTTAATTTCCTTTATGAGTTGGTTGCTAAGAAGCTAGGGCCAGATTTGTAGGTCTAAACATGCATTTTTGTGGAAAAGTCTACTGCTGGCTTAATATTGTTTTTTGTTCCCTTTCCCCTTTACTTAAATCTTCTTATTCTACATGTATTTTATATTGATATATTTGTATATAGTTCTGTAAGTTCTTTTAATGACTTTCTGAGGGGCCTCTCTGGTGGTGCAGGGGTTAAAGACAGCACTATTAAGCTCTTGCTAGCCACTTCAGCCCAAATCTCATCCAGGCAGCTGACCCACATGGCAGAGCAGACCTCTCATCTTGCCCACTGCTCCCCTTAGCAGTGTAGTTCAGTAGATCCGCCTGTTCTGGTCCCCACTGTTTCTGGTGAATCCTCTCACCAACTCCCCTCACTTCTGGCCTACACCCTGGATCTTGTACGCATAAATAAATCTTAAAAAAAATTTTTTTTTCTGGGATAGTGCCTTAACATTTAAATTAGGTAAATTTTAGGATAATCATGATAAAGTATGTTTCCTACAGAGCAAATGCTGATCAGTTCAAAGTGTCAGAGATTTAAGAAATGTTAACATTTCTTAGCCATTCATATCTCCTCCAGGGCAAAATTCAATGTATAGAGAAGTGTTAAGTAAATCAAAGACAGATTCAAATGGCCCCCAAGTGACTGTTTTCCAGTAGCTTTTAGAATTCCAAAATGGTTCTTTCAAAGAAATCATTCAGGTTTCAAAAAAGCCTGACTGGAAGGTGCTGGGTGATGCATATGAGAGATACAGGTTAACCAGAGGTGGGAGCTTTATTTCACAAGTTTCAAGATACAGTACAAAACGAATCTGTACATCTCTCTATTAACAGGATTTGTTTACACAATTATATTACACTTCACCAGCCTTCATACTGTGTTTAATTAAATACAAAATAAATGTACAAAAAAGTCAATCATGGAATGGTATTCCTTCCAATGCCAGCTTCTGCGCTTTTAAAACTTCTCATAAATATTGGTAGTGGTTATACTTGATCATTATCAATATATGTATGTTTAGTTGGAGGGAATAGTGTCAGCCTGTCATTCCAAATAGGAAAATGGTGCATGTGAGGTGACTCCATGCACATAACCAAGACGTCCTTGGGCACAGAAAATCAGATTTTTACTTGTGCAAATAGTCACTTTAAAATACAAATCATTTTTACATGTGATTCCTTTAAGTTTTCTTCAAATACTAAGTGGAAGGAGAAGTTTAGTTTCTTTGTCAGGACTGCTGCACTGGTAAAAAATCAGACTGTGCACCAAGGTGGCATTCAGAAATTTTATATTTTCACTTATCTTTGAGAATAGTGACTGATGAAAAATATTTATGAAAATATAAAATTCTTTTGCTTTATTTCTGAAGCATGTCTAGCCATAATATAGTGTAACACATATTATAATCACTCTCAGAATGAATACCAACCATCACGTTGAGCCCACGCTGCTCATTGTGGTCGGTAAGTGGGCTGCAGATCCGAAGCATTTGGTTTTGAAATGTGCATGTGAAATGTTCAATCCAAACCTCTGTAAAGGAAGGTTTTTGCAACTGTAACTAGACAATAATACACATGCTACACACATGAAGAGTTGTGGTCTTCATTTATAGACTTGCATGCATACTTCCAAAACACTGGTTTTAAGAACATGTGAAGCAAAGAAAGGAGGGGGAAATACCAAAACAAACAAACAAAAAAAATGCTATATAAAATACTTAAGTTTCCTGGAGGCACCAAGATGCCCCTCAATTAAATAAAGCGTCAGCTCACAGATAGAAGTTTCTAAAACTTCCCAATGGTAGAGATAAAACAGCTTGGCAGTGAAACTTTTACAAATTAACCTTATAAGCAGAAGAGTAACCAATCTTCAAGAGTATTAAGATTAATGATTCACAAGTTAATCTCATTTAAGTGCCAAGTCATGAATTTTGAAAAAAAGGCTTGTACTACTTCTGTGCCACTGAAGAGTAACCAAAGAGAAGCCTTACTCAGAAAATGGAAACAAGAACTTCCAACACACACCCACTCACACAAAACACCCCACGCAACCCTGCTACCACCATAACACAAAATAGAAGCTAAATGGAGTCTCAAGGCTCAAAGAGGTGATTAATCAACAGATCAAGCGCATGAGTGAGGATAAGCTAAGTGGAGCACTACCATCATCACCATCGAGGCCGGAAGACGGACTGTGACAAGGAACAGGAGAGACAGGCGGCCATGGAGAAACGAAGCCACATACTACCTGCTAACTCTAAATTCTAACATTAAAACTCCTGAATCCTGGAGTTAGTTTAATGTCACTGACATTAACTAGCTTTAGTTACTGTCATTTTATTCAAATGGATGCCATTTGATTAGGTTAAGTATTGAACATTATTTTAGGAGAAACACCAAACCAAGTTCCTACTTGCTTAGGTCTCGTGTCCTAGGAACAAAAAGGAGCAAAATATTTTGAAATGGTCTTTCAATGAAGCCACAGGAACTAAGTAATTTAAAATATACTGTTTAAATTTCCAGCAGCAAGTGACCCAGGTTAAAAGAGGGGGCGGAAAAAAAAAAAGGGCATACGGAGTATTAATAATGGAAAGTACAGGACAAGTGGCAAAATAGTAAAAGTTTGTTATTGCATGAAGAACAAGACCCTATCTTCAAGGTAGTGCACAGTTTTAAGAATTTTTTCTTCTTCTTGGAAGATGTTAAGGTAGAGGTAAAAATGCTAAAAGAGAAATTGGGGGGCTGGTGGGGGGGAAAATGGAAGTTTAGTTATATCAGAGGGCTTTCAAACTTTTAAATAAATTAAAACAGTCCTTTGTAATGAGGTGTGGCTGCTACTGTGGGCTGTATTTATTTTGAAGGATGGGGAGCAGAGGCAGTGATGAAGATACCAATAAACTGTACCAACTTCACTGAGTCCCTAAGCAGAAGAGATCAAACAGGTCTTATTATTTACAAGCGCTGCCTAAAGCAACATCGCACTTTGGAGGGTAAAATGTCCCACCTTTCACATGTGCTTTTCTCTATATGGTTCTTTTTGTGACCACCTCTTTCAATGTGGAAGCAATTATCTGGAAGGAAAGTTTGCTTACCCTATTTCTCATAATACTCTAAACCTAAAACATAGCCTACAACTTCACATTTAAAGCCTTCATGTTAATTGTAAACTAACGAAATCCTGTTCTAAAGCACAGCTCCAACTTCAAAAACCAAAGTCTTAGAACTCTACAGGCAATAAACTTTTCAAGTTTTCTGGCAGATGAGTGACTATGGAAAAAAAGAGTACAAAGGTTAGTATCAACAGATTGAGGTCAGCAGGCATAGAAAGTCTGCTCAGATACCAATATAGGCTGGTGAAAAACACCATCTGCCCATAAAAAGAACTACATATTTAGTTTAAGTTTTAATAGTTTCATTGGTATGGTATTCGTGAAGTCCTCAGGTTTCTTCGTTGTTTACCAAACAAGTCTGAAGTATAATAGCCCTGATTTTCCTAATGTTAACAGAGAATGAAGAATATGGTAACTAAGCAGGCAGCAAACTTTCTACTGTAATATAAAACCACAGAAATGAAAATCTACCTGAATAGAGTGGAACAGCATAAACAGGCTTTGGCTTTCCTCAACCACTGTTTAATGCATCTTTTATTCTCTGTGTTTTAATATTGTAATGGTAATTACTATGTGCTGGATAGTGGCAATGGTATTTCATAAATATAGAATTCAGAAGGGTGATCTGTTCTTTTGCAAGAAGAAATGAAAAGTAAAATAAATCCCTGGAATAAATACTTCAACTTTTGGGGAGGTATGTCTATGATCGTGGTATCCCATCCAGAGTTCTTTAGTATTGTTTTAGTATCTCCCATTCAGTCCATCCTCTGGCTTCTGGATCAAGGCTCTGAATACTCAAAACAAACAAGCACATTACAGTGGGGAGGTGGGACAAATTCACATGTTAGCTCAAGGAGTCAGTTCATACTTCTATAGATTTCATACCAAGAAGTGAAGTTCACATAAAACCCTTTGACAAGGCCTTTCAGTCTCTGAAGGAGAGAAGTTTGGTAGAAAATGTGACAATCACCAACAATAAGGACATTCCCAACCTTCCCTGTTAAAATAACAAGTATGCTGCATGTGTATACCTGCATGTGGACTGGTAGGTAAAAGCTCCTTAGTTACTGCAGCTCTGAAACACTTTGAAGATTCTTTTTCTTTTTTTAACTGAAAAGGCAAGCTGTTTTCAGACTTTCAAACATGTTAAGCTTAAGCTTGCAACTAACTGCATTTTTCTTTTCACACTGATCAGTTTTTAGTGTCGATGCACAAGACCTTAAAATGCTGACAGAAGAGTGTATGCACACTGAGAATGAGCAAGGGTTAAGAGCATGACTGAAGAACCCAAGAAAGCCAACTGGATACAGCAGACATTACTTTGAGTGTCCCACATGTTTCCAGACCAAAAAAATTAAAAAAGTGGGAAAAGTCATTGAGAGTTGTTATTCCATTCAGCACGGAAACAAACATTCAACTCAGTTTAGGTAAGAGTTACGTATCCCTGAAAATAAAGGCATCAGATTCTAAGCAGCTTTAGGAATTCAACGCTTCCTTGTGCCTCTTCCAGGAGGTGGCCACTGATCCAAAGTCCTAAATCAAATGCAAATGTTCTCAGCAAACGATTTCCTGGGCTGTCACTGATCAAGGCTGGACACGGTGGCTGTTACTGCGGTGGCTGCTGCTCTGGCGGCGCCTCTGGCTGTGGTGGCGCTGGCCGTGGCCCAGGAGGTCTGGGTACAGGCATGTCTTGGTGCTGCCTCTGCCTGTAGGCTATCACTGTTCCCAGAAGCAACGCGATGATGGTCATGAGGTAAAGATCCCACTCAGGTCCCAAAAGCTGGTCCATATCAAGTTGGGTGAACATATCTCGAATCTTAGTGAGAAGAATATGAAAGTCATTGTGGTGACTAAAACTGAAAAATTACACGGCCTATTAGAAAAAAATACAGAGCTTACTGAAATCATTGGTTTTAGAAACATTCTGCAACGTGTTTTTAAAATGGTTTTAAAAGTTTTCAGCTGAAATTGTGTCTCATAGGAACAGTTATTTTAACAGCTGACTACACAAAGTACTTAGCAGAGTTCTTCTCTGTCAGTATCTAAGACATTAATTTCCAACCATTTCTTCCTAAGAAATAACTGAAAGGAACACTGGGAACATCAGAGGTATGGGGTGAATGTGTCTCTACACACCCGTCAGCTTTCTGCAGTGACGAAACACGTGCGTGCGCTTTGCAAACCGAGTTAGTGACAGCCGAGTTACTGTTTTCTCATGAAACTGAAGATGGCAGGAGCTCCAATGCTTAATAGCTGAATGAATAATGCTTTTTTTTTTTTTTTTTAATTAGGACAGAACCAAAGACCAAGATATGTAACACTTGGTTTAGCTTAAAAGTTAGGTTTTAGTATGTGGTATTTTCATTGTTTTAGTGCTACTTAGTATTTTTTAAATTCTACTCATCCACAAAGAAAGTAAACATGGAGTATAGTCCTTTATGCTAAAATAAAAATGTATTTAAATGGTTCCCATCACATATACTTGTAAGTATAGGTGCTAAATTTTTATGAAAAAATTTTTGTTAGAAACTATGTTGCCTGTCAGGAACTTTTATAATGGGAGATTTTGTGTGATTTCTTTGTTTTTTTAAAGTTGGATTAGCTAGGGGGTAGGATTATGGGGCATTTTATTATCTTCTTTATATTTTTGTACTAAAAAGATAGCAAATACAATACAGTTAGAATGGCACCTTGTATGAACATAATCAACTGCAATCAACAGCTTGTCAGTGATAAAACCTGTGAGACAAGACCTGAAATAATTCTGAGAAAAAGAAAAGGCTGCCACAGTTAGCTTGTAATCCAAGGAACAGAGATCATTACAATTAGCAGAAGGCATGGCATACCCTGGTTCATGCTAGAAACAATTATAATTTGATATTAGGAAAGAATAAATGAGAGTCCAGTATCTTCAGTCCTCTGGAGACCTCTATGTGGAGGTCCTTAGTAGCTAGGGATAAGGGCTGCAAAAGGGAGAAATTGTTGAATTTCTCTTTATAGATGGTGGAGCAGCACGGATTTCCATTTCTGCCTATATCACACACAAGGAACACATGTTCTGGAATCTAAAACGCTGAACACATGTTCTGAAAGATTTTTTGAACTATCATCCTTTTCTGGCCCTGAATGAATTAAAGTGAAACAGCCTTGTTTCTGTATATATCTTAGGACTTCCAGAATTAAACTGTGTTGCTGTACCAGTAAATCTATTATGAGGAGTCACAGACACTGTAAGCAAAACGCAAAGCTGGAGAACGTGAAAGCACCTATGAGCAACTCAAGTGGGTCATTTGGAAAAGAACAGGTAACTCTTCTATTTAGAAAATGTTCCACCATTAGCTTATTTAAAGAACTTTTTGAAAAACACAATTCTGGTGGTCTTTTAACTTATGTTCTACTGTCGGAAGAAAATAAAGTCCCAGAGCCTGGGCAGGGTCTCAGATTCTACCTCTCCTTCCACCTGTTTTTCTCTCACTTTAAGGAACTGGTCTAAATCGTTGCCAGTCTTAATCTGACTTAAGGACCACCTTATTTAGTCAACTACTGTTTCACATCACCAAGCTTTGGTCTCAATTTTCTCTAAACCAGAAACCATCTGCATCCCTGAAAAATGCTTTCGCAGTCAGGACCACTGTCAAAGGCTACGTGGAAACTGTAATGCCTCTGTGGCTCTTCCTCCCCTCACCTGCTGAAATCCACTGGGCCTTCACCTGGGGAGGAAGGCAAAGACCAGACACTTGGAGGACACTCCTCTCCTCTTCCCCCACTTTTTTAAATACCAGCCTCCAGATTGAGAAGATTACACTGTTTGTACTTTAATTTAAGAAAGCACCGCCCACTTACATTTGTTTCCCGTATGTACTGTAAGAAGTATACAACGCCGAGTTTGCAGAGTGCTAGGAAGACTGGTACTTGTGCATCTGGGCTGGCTTCAGCTGCCATGTCATAAAATCGCTTTGCAAGGTGAATATCCTGTATGTAGGCAATAAACCAAAATTAATTTCTTGCTTAAGTAGGTAAAAATAAGTATGATTTACTTTATATAATTGAAAATTTTATTTTGCCTTTCAAGTTTTCATTTCAAATTTTTCTTAAAGAAAAACCCAAGCCTTAATTGGGTAAAATACTTTATCTAATGCTTAATTTTTAAAAACTTAACTATAAAACTTTAAGACTTAATTCAGGTTCCCAACAGGGGAGGGGAGAGCGCAAGAGTCTATGGTAATGCTTTATGGATGTCTTGGTGGTGGTAATTTTATGGGGACAACACTGAAGAGGAGAAATCAAACACTGTACAAAAATGAACAACAATGTAAAGCTATCTAAATAATAAAAAATAAAGGCAATCAAGAGATTTAACATTGCTGATAACCTAAAAAAAAAGAGAGTTATGTGATCTTGCTATAATAAAATTCTTCCTATTCCCATATACTTATTTACATGAACAAGGTTGCAATTATATATTTATAAAAATAAACAGAATGTGGGTACAGTGGGTTAAAGCACAGCACTAAGAAGCTAAGGCCACTTCAGCATGAGTTCAATCCCCACCCCTGGGTGACCCACATGGCGTGGCAGACCTCTCCTGACCCGCCTGCTGCTCCCCTCAGCAGTGTACTTCGGTCATCTGCCTGTTCTGCTTCCCACTCTCTCTATGGTGAACCCTCTTACCACCCCTGCACCTCCGGCCTGTACCCCAGTTCTGTAAACATAAATAATAATGTTAAATTCACTCAGACACAATAAGTAATTTTAAAAAATGTTCCACTTATCTCATTACAAGACGCATTTTCAATAAATACCATAATTTTGTCAAAACGTGTATCATCATGCTGATTTGATCAGTAGTATATTCATAATCTATAGTGACTAAGAACTACTGTCACTTAGAATCATACAATACCAGGAAATACAATTCAAATTCTGAATTTATATACTTACTTGTTTTAGATAAGCACAAAGAAGTGATTGGTAAAAAAAGATCTATGTACTAAAAATATTACATTACTATAAAATTCTATGAGACTAGTGGGTTTAAGGCATAATAAAGTCAGAAAGAAAAGGAAAATATGCGATTTTTAAAGAATGTATTTGCTTGTGTATTTTTAAAAAATGAATGATGGAGACATCAAGTTATTTTGGTATTTATTCATTTTTCTTTAAAGTCTTGGTACATAAAATAGCTGGCACTCTGACCTTTTGAAACTTACGAGTAAGAAAAAATTTAAATGTGAACTTAGTGTGCAAGAGGATGGAGTTTTTCAGAGGCTTCCCTGGTGGTGCAGGTGTTAGTCTCAATGCTATCGCTGCCATGGCCTGAGTTCAACCCCCTGTCTGTCTCTGGTGAATCTTCTCACCCCCTGCACATTTGGCCTGTACCCTCATTCCTTCTTGCATGAATAAATAAATCTTTTAAAAAAAAAAAAAAAGAGGATACAGTTCTTCTTTCAAGGGCACCGAGGTAAAAACTTAAGACTGTGGATCTAAAGGATGGCAGACTTCATTAGGAAAGCCTAAGAATAAGAAACAAGCTCATCAATAGCAAACATCTTAATTTCAAAATAATTTAGGAACAACAGACTTTGTCAGAAAATGAAGTTTCTCAAACGAGGAGCTATCAACAGCGCAGCACTGCATTTCCACTTTTACGAATCTTCGTTTCAGTATCTTGGATACTAACAATATAAAGATCAGCAAGTGTGTGTACTGGCAGAGAGAGGTGCAAGGGTAGTCTCCGTACTTACTGAAAATCCGAGCACATTACAAAGAAAGCTTATTTTCTCGAAAAATGCAAGCATTCACTCAAATCACAATATATTACTCAAACAGTCAAAGCCACACTCACCTGCTTAATGCCTAGTCCTTTCTCATGCATATACCCCAGGTTAAACATGGCTTGTGCGCTGTGCTGTTGCTCAGACGCTAGACGATAATGAATGAACGCCGTCTCGTAGTCTACGTCAGTGCCAAATCCATAAAAGTGGTAGTCTCCAAGCTTAATTCTAGCCACAGTATAGCCTTAAACAAGTTAAATTCAGAACCATCAGTAGTGTGTTTAAAACAGAACAAACTGCTATTTTTCCTTCTATTAACATATTTCCATAAAATGAAGAATTATAACTTAATAACAACCTTTATACAAATTCTTAAGCTAAACTGAAAAGTCAGCAAAAAATTGAACTAGAAGCAGAGATCTTTTGAAGGCTTTGTAACAGGAAAAGGTAAAACAAAGTGGGTGGTACCCCTATCCCGCTAATATACTTATCAAATGCTCTAGTCTGTCTTTACATTTTAGGACAGTTTCAGCTTGACAATGACACGGGCTTGAGAAGTGCTCTACAAACACGCAGACAGGAGCTTGTAAAAGGAAATACTCAAGTGAAAGTGGGAAAAGGTGAGTTTTCAGGCTTTTGGCTGACACTCTAGTACACACTCTACTCAATTCAAATCACTGGTCTCAAACTGAAAACCAGAGCAAACTACAGCATTGTAAAAATGCCTAGTACAAAGACTTTGCAACTTAATTTAAAAAGCTTGGTCTGTAACTCTGTTTGAAGAATACATACCAATCATGATGCAAACAAGTAAAGTACAGCAGAAAATGCTTAATTTTCAGGTGATGAACAACATGACCCGTCTCTAAGAGATTTTTTTAAAAAGCAGTAACAAAAGTCCTGGTTGAGACCCAGAATCAACGAATGACTCACCTTGAGAGGCGGCCCTATTCCAGTGTAGCAGAGCTCTGGGGTAAGTTTCGTTCTCACCTACAATGGTTGCTTCTCCTATAGAGAAAAGACAAAATGTTTAAAGACCCTCATTTTATTGGCTTCTTTTACAAAGTAGGGTATAAATGTGGGGCATAATTTAACAAGAATTGGGATATACCAATTATCAAATGAAGTGTATAAATGAACTACTGAGTTCAAAGGAACCACAACATTCAGGACACTACTTCCTGAACCCTGCTGTATCTGAAGACCTGATAATGAAACCAATTACTGAGTCATCTTTAAGAATTTACATATCTCTAGAAAAAGTGTTTCTGCTGTATTTTGAAAAACAAAAAACAGTTATTGAGAGCAGTTAATCCTAAAAAGAACGTCAAATCTATTTCTGTCTAATCATAAAATTAACTTTGATGGCTTCAAGAGATCCAAGGTGAAATAACTTAGGTTAATGCTTGTTAAATTCTGCTTACAACAATAAAGAAATTTCTTTGTGGTTGTTCTTTTTATTAGGTGTATTTGATGTGAAACCCTTGTATTCTAAACCAAAGACAGGACTAAAAGGAAGCTTACTCTGATCGAGAATGAAGGCGGCATTGCTCTGCGCCACCTCATAGCCTTGCTCAGCCAGCAGGAGGTACTGGATGACGGCAGCATTGTAGTCGCCATCTTTATAGCTGTTATAGGCAGTCATAAGTCTCTCTGACCAACGGCCTCGTTCACATACATTCTTAAACAACTGTGAGAACAGAAAAGAAGAAAAACAGTTAAAAATTAAGAAAGATATGCTAGAAAATAATTTTTGCATTTTGATTACAAGTGATTAAACTTCCTCTCTGACTCTTTGGCAGTTATTAAATGAACATAAAAGTTTGGAATACTGGGCCCTCGCTGGTGGTGCAGCGGGTTAGGATGTAGCACAAGTGAGCTCAGCCACTTCAGTGCGAGTTCAATCCCCAGCCCTAGAGGTGATCCACATGGCGTGACAGACTGCTCCTGACCCGCCCGCTGCTCCCCTCAGCAGTGTACTTCGTCCATCTGCCTATTCTGTTCCCCACTCTGTCTCTAGTGAATCCACTTACCACCCCCTGCACCTCTGGCTTGTACCCTAGTTCTGTATGCATAAATAAATAAACTTAAAAGTTTGGAATACTTATTTGAAGCTTTCACTTAGTCTTTAGTACAGGCTAATAAAGAGTATTATGGCCAGACATGATTCTAGTGATTATTTGATATTATATATAGTAGTTCACTTAATTGTGCCATGAATCACCTTCTGAGGCTGAATCTTATTAAGAGCTCTATTTTATAAATAAGGAAGCTGAAACAGAGAGATTTAGAAATTTGGTAGGCATTTATCAATGTCACTGTAAAGTATCAGTTATGAGAGAGCTAAAGAGGAAATGTTCCAATTAGGAAGTATTATCATTCCCCTTTGCAATGCATATTTTTTGATTATAGAAAGCAAAAACATACTTATAGAGGGCAAAGTATAGCAAGGCTAGCAGGCTGAGTCTGTTTCTATGCTAGAAGAAATCATGCAAAGAAAACTGTAATTAAAAGGGTAGATTGTCCTACTGGGGAAATGAATTTTCTGGATGCAAGTCTGTAGGAAAGCCTTACCTCCACTGCAGTGTGACATGAGCGCATCACACCTGTGCCGCTGGCGTGCATCTGTGCTAGGTTGTAGAAAGCCAAGATGTGGCCTCCCTGAGAAGCTAAGTTAAAGTATTTCAAGGCCTGTTTATAATCTCTTTTGACACCAATGCCGTCTGTAAGAAAAATTACACGGAAGGTCAGTAATAGTCTTAAACAATATTTAACTGAGAAGTCTCAAAGAAGTCTTATATAGAAGGAGGAAAACTAAATAAAATTTAGGATTTTTACTCAGGAAAGATGTGAACCTCATTAATACAGATTCATAAATTAATACAACCTAATATATGTACAATAAAAACCAAGATACACAAATCATTAATGAGCAAGAATTCAATAGCTCTCTGTAAGGAACAGGGAAAAACTCCAGCTCTTTCTCACCTCCCACTCTGCAACCACCACCTATGGCTTTGCTTTCCTCCCAGGTTTCACTACCTACATGAAACACTGCATTAATGTAAGAAAGCACTTAGAAGCATTTGCAGGGCACCAGCTCCTATAAATATAGACATCTGGGTCAAGAAACCAGAGATCATGGGGGACTCCCTGCTTGCTGGTCTGTTTGTGTATTCGAATCCCTGTTTCAGCATTAAAAGCATGTCAGCCGTACCTAAGGCTCCAAGGTTCTTTTTCCATTTGCCCAAATCAACAATGAACCTGCCTGGCCTGCCCCTCTCCTTTCCCTATCATGGTGGCAAGGAAGATCATGGTATATTCACCAACTCCAGTGTTACTTACTATAGTACATAGAGCCAAGCTGTAGCTGCCCATCCACCCAGCCTTGTTCAGCAGCTTTCTGGAAATATTTCAGCGCCAGATCATAGTTCTGTAAAAGAGGAGACCGCATGATGAGCGCTCAAATGGTTGATATGCTCAGAAGCCAAGTGAGACATTCACCAAGAAAAATTAACAAAGCACACAAAAAATATTAAAACGGTTGCCTTCTATTTTTAAAATAATGTACTTTAATTAATAAGGGAACTGATATTTAATACTCTGAAGATAAGCAAAGAGAATTTTTCACTTTCAAAAAGCATAACTAACAATAGTAGAACACCAGGACAGGAATTCAGAAATCACTGTATCTTTTCCATTAACCAACTAATCCTCCATTAAGTCTCATTTTTTTCTGATATCAAATAAGGAAATTATCTTCTTATTTGTTCCTCTCCTGGATAGTGTATGATTATTAGATTTCAAGTATCATTAAGTATCCCATGAGAAAATTAAAATGAAGGTCACCATTGGATTTCAGTGTCCTAAAATGACTAGAATGAAACAAGGGAGTACCTACAGATTAGAATTCTCAACCTAGTTCTCAGTTTCAGGCTCAAATAAAAGAACCACACTGCTCAGAGAAATTAAAGAGGATACCAATGAAAACCTGAGGGCACCCATCATGTTTTCATTGGAGAATAGGAAGCCATGGTTCAGGAAAATGAAGAGCACTTGTAGTCACAGAACCTCAGGGAAGAGAGGTCAAGGGAAGAGAGGTCAATGTCAACTGGAACTAACATTTAAGAGGTTACTGGTAATTCATATAGACCAATTACCAAGTAGAAGTCTGACTTTTATGAGTTAAAGAGTAAAAAGTAACAGCCTATATAATCACTCTTTGAAGAAACTTGGCTTTTCAGTGAGGTCTGGAGAGAAGAGAGGTGGCAGCTTGAAGGGCCAAGGGTAGACCAGAAAGCTTTCCTCATAAATGGGAAGGCTTAAGCATCTCTTAGGCTGATATGAATATATAGCAAGGAAAACATTTGGAAGGGTAAGTAAGGTAGAGAGCACACATGGAATAAAGAGAAGCAGCTTCAGATCTTCAGGAGAAGGACAGAGTCATCCTGAAACAACTGGAAAAGGCTGAGTTTTGGTTATAATGAAACAGCTTCACCTGGGGCAACAAATGGGAGTGAGTTACAGAACACTCCCTACCTCATGAGCTGGCTGTTTGTGAAAGTCAGAATATTAGACTAAAAACCTACCACTTGAACTCCTCTCCCATAGAGATAGGCCATTCCAAGTCCACTCTGTCCAACTGGGTTGCCCTGCAAACCAGAGACAAAAGAATGAAAGGATTCATTAAAAAACAGGCAAGAAGAAATGACTGCAAAAGAAATAATAATCTACAAGCATTTTCAAAACATGTCGTATTTTTCAATTTGTAACAAACTATTTTCCTTCTCATTAGACTAAATGTAGTAGTAACTTTTAGACATTTTGGGGCTTTCAATGATTTTCTGAAAAAGAGGAAACACTAAATTTATTTTGAATTAAACTTTGGTGATTAACCTTATGACCACTTGTTGCATGAATCAGTTATAAATGAAAATTAAAGCCAAGTTATTTCTTTTTTAGTAACTTCTCACTGATAACCTCTTGTCCAACAGAGAAGGGAGATAACACAGGAGAATCGACAACTACATAGTAAAATCAATGCTGGGATTAGATGAGAAAGAGATGTGTTAAAATTACTAAAGTCAAACAGACTGAAGATAATCAGTCACTTGAGACCAAGAAGGAAAAAAACCCTGGAATTTACCTAAATGAGAGAGAGAAGGCACGCTGGAAATAAGTATCCAGTGTGCTCCTTTAGCTAACAACTGATATTTGGAACTAGACTGACATGAAGTTGGCTGACAAAGAGCTAAGTGTACACCCTGGAGACAATATTTATTGGTAGTTTTCCGTGGGCCCAAGAAAGCCCAACTTATGTTAATGTGATTATCAAAAGTACCAAATTATTTAACTGCAAGCTGCAATACAAATAGAGTAAATCATACAAGTCCTAATTCCATGACTAAAATCAGTATTTCCCTGAGCAGAAAATCTCAATGAACTCAAACAGATACTTAAAACTCAATAATCTGGTCCCTAAAACAAATTTGGTTTTTATTGGAAAGACATTTTGTAGTCAATTCATTTGCATTAATCCTATTTATGCGTTTTCAACAATTTCAGCATGAACTGGTTATGATTAATCCTTTAGTAAACTTATTTAAAATAATAACAATATGGTACACTTGAGCATACCATACACTCAAATGTTTCCTAATATACTTAAGTCATTAAGTCTTACCATGTCAGCAGCTTTCTTAAAGTAGTGAAGAGCTGTCTCATTACTCTGAGGTACAATATCACTTCCCTCTGAATACATCTGGAAAACAGGCCCCAATTTCATTAAGTTGTAACTTCTTTTCAATTACATTTTTCTCTTACTCTGGTTTTTGGTCAAACTCCTGAAATTTTGCAACAAAGATTACAATTTCCCATAGAATCTTTTTAGAATTAAAAGCAAACCTGAGAAGTAAATATTTCTATATTTCAATATTTTCTATGTCATCAAATTTATGACATACAAACATACATACATACATACACACACACACATACATATATAAACACGAGTATGTAAAATCACCTCATAGGTGAATTTCTCAGGAGAAAAAAATCTTTAATTCCAATCTTTAAGGTCAATCTTTTTTCTCACTCTATCTTTACCTAAAGATTTACTGGCCCTCCCTGGTGGCCTAGTGTATTCGGATGCAGCACTACAAGCTAGCAGCAGCCACTTCAGTGTGAGTTCAATCCACAGGCCTAGAGGTGATCCACATGGTGCAGAAGACCTCTCCTGACCCGCCCGCTGCTCCCCTCAGCAGTGCACTTTGTCAGTCTACCTGTTCTGCTCCCTACTCTATCTCTGGTGAATCCTTTCACCGCCCCTGTTACTTCTGGCCTGTACCCCAGTTCTGCAGAGTAGGCCCATATACTGAAATAGTTCTGCAGAATAGGCAGATATACTGAAATACACTGCTGAGGGGAGCAGCGGGAGGGTCAGGAGAGGTCTGCCATGCCATGTGGATCACCTCCCTGGCTGGGGATGGAACTCATGCTGCAGTAGCTGCGGATCGCTTCATATTGCACTTTAACCCAATGCACCACCAAGGTGGGCCTGGTGGGTGTAGAGATTAAATGAGGAAAACAAGAGCTGTGAGCAATGTCTACTTTCCTATCTCCTCTACCAGGGGAAAAAGGGTAGGCCTTACGTTCAGGAAAATAAAAGTACTGACTAACTAGAAGGTATGGAACATGATAAAGGGGCATTAGTAAGAAAAAGAGAATGAAAATGTAGTTTTTGGGTTTGATTGTTGTTAATCTGTGCACATTAAGGAAAGGACAAGTAAAGGAAATAGCTTTTTGAGACAGTGATATTATTGGTAACTTAAAGCAATAACTTAAAGAATCTGAAGGGCTGGAATGAAATTCAGAAATAAGAAAGATAGAGAATAATAATTTTTATGATGTAATAGTTGGAATTCTCAATGTAAAGTTCCCAGGCTCCAATTAACTAGCTATGATCATGCAGCAAGTATGGCCTATTATTTTTTTCTACGTAAAAACCACTGATACATATTCTATTGGCGCCTCCTAACCTTAGAATCTGATGACAGACAAGTACCACTTGGCTTATACTTTTCTTGGTTTCAAAATAATGCAAAATGAAGTTCTCTAGACTTTAACGTCTCCTAACTTGAGATAAGAAATGTTTTACAAGGTGGGAGATAGTTATATTAAAGATAATTAAAAGGTCTACAGACAAATTTCAGCAAAGTCTAATTGTCTCTATTCAGCATGGAGGCAAACAGGCAATTATAAGAGACTGAGCAAAAACCACACAATATAAAGAGTAAATTCCTCATAATTATGCATGATACACAAAAATTACATCCTTAGACAGTATTAGTTAATTTTAGTGGAGAAGTAACACTCTGATGAGTGAAGAAAATGGTTCAGCACAGCACTTACCTTAAAATTCCTTGTAATGGAAATTTATTCTCTAGTTAATTTTTGGTGAATTAGAGACCCTGAATACCATATGCACTTACTAAGCAAACAACTCTTGTCATTACCTACATACTACAAGCACAGAAGGTACAATACCTTTCCCAAGAAGGCCATAGCATGTGAATTGCCAGCATTAGCTGCTAAGTTGAAGTAGTCAAATGCTCTCTATGAAAAAAGAACATATTCAAATATAAGTTTTTAGGAGAATCTGCCTGACTTTTATCCAAAATTATTGCAGAAAAATTTAAAAACTTGTTAAATTGCAGTATCTCATTTTACATAAATGGCCATACCACCTATTACTCTTCACTCTTCATACCCAATTGATCACAAAGTACTAAGTACCATGAAAACATATCTTGATTCCAGCTACTGTACTCCATTACCACAATCCTTATTTAGGCTACATTATCTCTCACCTGCCTTCTGGAATACTCCCCATCCTGATCTCCCTGCTTTAATTTTTTGGCTCCACTGAAACACTTTTGGTAAATTTCAACATGCTGGTGTTTATAAGCTCACTGAAGTGTTGCAGTGTGACGATAACATCTTGCTGCATCTCTCTGCCTATGGGCAGACACACTGTGTTCCTTCCAGCCTCAAGGCCTTTGCACATTCTAACACAAGTTGTCAGTTTTATCTGACAACTGCCACCTCCCTTTAATGCTCCTAGGTCACAATAATCACAACCTGCCATATATTTATTGGCATGATCATTCTAAAATAATCTAGGGGGGTCTCAAGAAAAACTGATTATGCTACATGACTTACTCTTAGAGTGTATAAACAGGTACAAGGCCTTTGAGGCCATGTTAATGGCTTTGGTCTTTAGCCATTAGAAATCAAGTATCACCCCAAAATTTTAAACAAGAGAACACATGATGAGATGGACTATTTACAGTGATAGGAAATAAAAGCAGAAATTACTCACTGAAGTGATAAGTGTACTGATAGGAAGGGATGAAATGAGTACACTGTTATTTAAGACACAGCAGACCAACGTTGTGAATGGATACAGATTTGAATGCTATACTTGTTCATTCCTAGTTTCTCACACTCAACATCACATTTTCCTCAGTTCTATGGAGTGTTTTCTAACAGGAGTTTTTAAGACATACTTTTATAACATATCTACAGAAAGCTAACTAACTGCATATGTATTTTTTAAGTGCTGAAAATTAGGTTTTAGAATTAATAAAACCTAATCTCTATAGGTAAAAACCACATTTTCCCCTCAGCTTTCCTCAAGAGTTAACTAGATCTTGAAAGGGGATTTGTGAAGACCCAATTGTGGCAACTTTCATTGACTTATTAGCAAGAAATACCCATGGAGACTCATTTCTTGCTATGACATGAGGTGCAAAATCCTAGAAAGAGCAAAGATACCTGATGATTTTGTTCAACTCCACGCCCTCCGTGCAGATGCAGTTGTCCCAGACCAACCTGAGAATTAACAAAGTGAGGTAAAAATAAATGATACCAACTGTCATGTAATGAGTCTAACCAGAAACTACTTGGTCACAAAAGGTTTCTGTTTATAACTCAGAAACTTGGAGATTCAGTTTTAACTCCAGATGATACTGATCTTAGTTTACCTAACCTACATAATTGAAAACTTTAAAATGTCTGCTTTTAATTGTAAGATATTCTTCAAATGGCTGTGAAATAAACGTATTTTCAGACAAACAAACTGAATTTGTCACAGGTACCCTATTTTAAAGGAAGCAGTGTTTCTTTTTTTTTAATTTTCCCAATTATGTTCATTAAGTTATCACAATTATGTTTATTATATCCCAAGTTATCCCAATTATGTTTATTAAGTTATCCTATAGGTTATCCTACAGGAAGAAGGAAGATTATCCTGGGAAGTCTGGAGATACAGTAAGAAATCAAGAGCAATGGAAAGGTAAATATAAGTTATATAGACTGCATACATTTGCTCTTGTAAGGTTCAAAAATACACAGATTTAAACACATTCAGAGCACTCTAGAATCTGAGCTGTGTAGGCAGAAGAAAGAGAGCTTGTTCCAAACTTGGTAGTCTTAGTTGCCTATAGATAGGAAGAGATACAATAACAAAATCACTCAAAGCAAAATCATTAGAGATAGAGGAGGACATTTTGATATATAAAATTTGGTTCAATGGAACTATAATATTAAGTGTGTATGCATTCAATATAGTCTGAAATAAATAAATCAAAATAGACTGCACTGAAAGGAGAAAGACAGATCTACAATTAGGAGGGGAAGTTTAAATAATTATTATCTCCAGACTGGATTGAAAACAGGAATAATTCAGGAAGGGTTCAGAAGAATGAAAAACAATTCTGAGTGACACAACTTACATATCAGAATACGAAACCCAATGACTGTAGAATTTGAATTGATCTCTAATGTAAAATAAAGATGTTCAAAAGTATAAGACAACTTTATTATAATCTCCATGAACTATGATTTGGACCTTTTACTCTATTTTTTTTCTTTTTAACTTAAGATGCCCTTCTTTAATCTCAAAACTAAAAAAGTATTTGTTGATCATCTCTATATATGTCTAAATCAGAAAGAACAATAAACTTAATAGGAAAAAAAGGACTGATGCTGAAAATCTTTATATTTTATTATCAAAATAGCCCATGAAACATCAAATTATGTTAATTTGATGGACATCCATTACATCAACTTGATGCATCACTAATTTGATATCATGATCAAATTAAAGTTTACATTAAATAAGCCTAGCTCTGCCCTTGACCTTAAGGAAATTATGGATTAAGATTAGCTAAAGAAAGATGGAAATAAAGAACTCTGAGGAGCACATGAAATACCAAACATTTCCAACACTGGCTGTTTTGAGGTCAAGGCAAAGCAGTGGCAAGGGAGCCCTGGCCCTTGGCTAGGGAAGCAGCCAGGACCCCTTCTGGCAGGGCTGTCTTCACACTGTTCTGAAAAGGCAGCAGCACTTTTCAGCTGTGGTGTACAGTTGTCACCAGTTTTAAGGAACTATCTGAGCAGTAGCCCAGACAAACCCAAATGCAGTTATCTTGGGAGTGGTACTCTTAGCTTTTTCTCAATGCTTCTTAGGTGATTCTAATATGTAGCTAATATCTGTTCAGAGCAATGAAAATGTTACTTAGAAATATAAGTGCTTGCCTCCAGAACAGTAATATAAACAGCATACACTTGACTAGAAGCACAGTCCATGAGATGTTTAAACACATACCTGTGCTTGTACATCACCTTTTTCTGCGAGGAACTGGTAATATTGAATCAAGTCTTCTTCCAGCATTCCACTGTTCATCCCTGGATTCTCCACCTCATCCGGCAGCCGTATTCTCTGTACTACTGAGCCTCCAGTCAGTGAGATATCACTAGCAACTGGAACAGGAGGACAAAGCAATAACATGGATGACAGTCAGAAAACTGTCTCACAAAAAGAAGTATGATTGCAGCTGCCAAATGTTAGCTGATAGACACTTAAAGGAAAGTGTTTCCATGATAAGTCTATAGATCTAAACTAAATTCAGCTTTTATCTATAATACTGAAATGTAAACAAAACAAAAAGTAGTACTTCATAATCAACTAGAGTAAAGATGATTCCACTGAAAATAAGACAGTCATAATGTTTCAAATAGTACAATAAAAACGAATGTATTGAAACTTAATTTCATACATTTTTTGGGGGAGGGAGGGTTGGGTGGTAGCTAAGGTGAAAGGCAAAAAGCAAAAAGATACCATGATTGGCAACAAGACGATAATGAGTCAGAGCAGATTCACAGCTCTGGAGGACTCCGATGCCAGCCCAGTATCGGTAACCCTGTAAAACAATTTCAGGTGAAAAGATGGCAGACAGATTTACATGCTTTGATGACATTCTTAGCGCAAAGTTAACTATATTCAGAATGTAATTCTTCTGTCCTTTGGTTCAAGTACACTATCCACCTCACTTACCCTAAATTTTAGGTTCAGCAACTTTTTTTTTTAAAGATTTATTTATTTATGTTTACAGAGCTGGAGTACAGGCCAGAGGTGCAGGGATGGTGAGAGGATTCACCAGAGACAGAGTGGGGAGCAGAACAGGCCAACTGACAAAGTACACCGCTGAGGGAAGCAGCGGGTGGGTCAGCAGAGGTCTGCCTGCCATGTGGATCACCTCGGGGATAGGGATCAAGCTCATGCTGAAGTGGGTTTAGCTTCTGAGTACTGTGCTTTAACCTGCTGCGCCACCAGGAGGGCCCTACTCAGCAACTCTTAAAGTTGCTATTTAAGAAGACTGGTAAATAATGACAAGTTCTTGTGAAAAAAATTTCACCTATTTTTGCCATACAAAAAAGTGTGATATTTTTTTAAGACATATCAAAGGAACTTTCAAATCACTGTTTGAGGATCAAATGTTATGTAAACAGACAAACGAAAAAAGAACACTGAAGCTACAAAAGAGGAATGTTTCAGAAAGTCAGCTAACACCCTTGCTCTAAACTCCTTCAGCAGCTTGGCCCTGGTGCAGGAAACTAGCCACACACTTTGGCACAGTGCTGCCTGTGGACATGATTTCTGTCTACCTGCCTTGTGATGACTCCTGGCACTTCCTCTCCAGCCACGGTCACCTGGTGACACCATGGTTCCTCCTGCTGCAGCCGCTGCTGTACACCCTTCTGCTCCTTTCACTCATTCCTACTTATCCCTCAAAATCCATTTCATTTGCTGTTTCCTCATAACTGTCTCCTTAAATTCCCCTCCTCCCAATCCCAGGGCGGTCAGATGTCCCTTCTAGGTGACCCCTTAAGTCCTCATACTGTCCTCCATTTGTTTCCTGTGTCTCCCTTTAAAAAAAAAAAAAAAGCTTATTGAATGTCAGTACTGAAACTTACTCATCTTTGGAATTCTAGGAACAAGTACTCAATAAATATCTTTTGAATACATTTTGGTCAAATAACCTAGGACCTATTCCACTTTCCTCCTTTGTAAAGTCTCATATCCCATCCTTTCCCGACTTGGGACTGGCTTCTTTGTTTTTAATCTCATTTCTACTCATTTACCTCTTAATGTCACCAAAGCATAGTAAAGTGGTTCAGAAGTCATGTGACTTACCTAAAAGTCAGTTTATAAAGAGGAGGCAAGTTAAACATCTAAACGGGCAAGAATTTAATGGAAGGCTCTGCATTTGCCACTAGCCCTTTAAAGTGATCAGTGCTATCAGGTAAGAGATACTTTGGAATGAGCTCTAGAGGAAGAAGTTCACATACAGTGAGTCATTCAACAATTTGATCATAAAACCTTTGATAACCTAATCCAAAAAGTAATTATGACCAATGATTCCAACTTAGAGAAATTATAAAGAGCCATTCATTGGATCTTTATTTGAAGGGCATCTATCAAACTAACTATTATACAGGAAAGTTGTAGACTCTAGTAGTCTTCATTCATATATAACTCAATTGCTGTATCCATTAACATGGCTTTGAAGGACAGAATCTACAGAATATTTGGTCATAATAAATATCAGTAAATTTGAAACACGAGGGCTAAAAAGTTGTGGCTACTTGTCTATCAAAATTCAATGTTGATAGTCTTCCACTTAAGTCTTACTTACCAAAACCATGTGGGCTATTAGGTTGCCCCCGAGGGCGCCGAAAGTATAATATACAAGGGCCTGTGAAAGAACAAAAGATGCTCAAATGATCATAGGCACATATTTGTCTGATTCAAATTGTAGTCTCCAAGTTGTAGTGAAGTAATACCTTTGCCTGACTTGAATTAACGCCAAGTCCAGAAGCATAGAGAAAGCCAAGAGCCTGAAATAAGATGATGAAAGTAAGAATTGTTTCTTTGATGGAAGTTTATTCAAGCTAGACAATTTTATGAGTCATGAAAAGATGGGGGTATCTTTAAATCCTAAAAGATTTGAATTGTTCAAAATAAGCATAAATGTGTAAAGGTTCTCAGAAATGAATTCAGCTTTACAAATTACATAATGAAATACAACTTTAAATATGTCATAAAGTCTAACCTGAACATTAAAGACAATTTAAGCAATATTAACTAGAGAAACAAAGCTGAGTACACTAAAACACAACCTTATCTTGATACGTGGCTATACAAGAGCAAAACAACCTCTAAATAATTAACATTATCTTATATACCAATAAATTATCTATTGATACAAAATGGAATACACAATAAAAATGGATAAAAGATTACTCCTGGAATACAAAAAGACAGAAAGGGGTCAAGTAGAAAGGATCAAGGGACACACATTAAAATGCCAGAGCAGACACAATTTTCTGAACAAACTCTCACCAACTAAACAATGCATTTTTGGTAAGGGTCTATGCTTTTTTTTTCTGTAGCCAAATGCTCCACCCCTGAGCTATACCCTTCCCCCTCCCCCATACACTCCCCCCCCTTCACCTTCTGAGAATCATCCTCAGTGACATGAAACTATAAAAGCAGACGTAGAAAATGCTATTTTCTTCTATATCTAATCAAAATCCAAAATCTCTTCGGTATTTTCCAGGCTTTCTTGTAGTTTGGTAGGGCTTTGTGTTTAAAAAGCCTGCAAGCCAGATGTACAATTGGTCCTGGAAAACATCCCAGAGAATTCTGCCTTCTCTGCTCTTTTCATGATGACCTGAAAGCAGTGTGCCAATGGCATAGCTATCAGACAAGTGCTTGACTCTAGGTTACCACTGGGGAGAAAGTGATGCAGGCAGGTGAGCTGCATCAAATCTGGCAGGAACAGGAAGTGACTGGGCTAAGTCACTGTGATTTGGGCGTTCTGTTTCATCAGCTAGAATTACAGTGGAGCGCCCTCCCTTGTGGTGGGTTAAAGCGCAGCACTATGAAGCGATTCATGAAGCAATTCGTATTCTCTGAGCTACTGAGCCTCTAGTCAGTGAGATATCACCACTGCAGCATGAGTTCATTTCCCAGCCAGGGAGGTGAACACGTGGCACGGCAGACCTCTCCTGACCTGCCTACTGCTCCCCTCAGCAGTGTATTTCACTCCATCTGCCTTTTCTGCTCCCCACTCTTTCTCTAGTGAATCCTCTCACTCCCCACAGTGGCCTGTACCTGAGTTCTTATATGCATAAGTAAATCTTTAAATTAAAAAAAATTAATTACAGTGGAGAGAGAGCTTTGCAACATAGAAAGGACTGTAGAATTGTAAAGTTCTGTTCCCACGCTGAAAGGCTACCTTCAAAGTTAAACCACTCCTCCCAACAGAATGTATGTGAAGATAAAAATAGGAGTTCTATATAAATTCATTATGTAAAGGAAAACAAACTTTGAAAACACAGTGGCGAAAGTATTCTGTATTAATTAAAACTAGATCACCTAAGAATTGTAAACTAAGTATTCAGTCCTATAGAAAACAAAGGTCAAAATCCCTGTAACTGTTTAAATAACATTAAAACAGATGTTCTCTGTGATCAGAAATTCATTTAATCTTTAAGCAAGGCCCCACCACAAGCCAAATTATTGAAGGCATTTTAAATAAACATGGAACCCCCCAAATCTAGGTGTTAAGCATCACTACTAGGGAGTCAAACAATTATTATGTATCGAGTGGTGCCCTGCACTATGGAATGCAGAGGAGTCAAAAATATCTACTTGCCTTCTGATGACACTCACTTTCTAATGAAGGAGCAAACTAAATGACACCTGGAAGAAGCAAAGAGCAAACTGAGGTAGCACACCTGCTGGAAACCTGGCTCTATTTTTTTTTTTTTAAAGATTTATTTATTTATTCATACAGAACTAGGGTACAAGCCAGAAATGCAGAGGGTGAGAGGATTCACCAGAGACAGAGCGGGGAGCAGAACAGGCAGATCAACGAAGTACACTGCTGAGGGGAGCAGTGGGTGGGTCAGGAGAGGTCTGCCTGCCCATGTGGGCACCTCTGGGGCGGGGATCGAACTCATGCGGAAGTGGCTTTAGCTTCTTAGTGCTGTGTTTTAACCCGCTGCGCCACCAGGGAGGGCCCAACCTGGCTCTATTTTTAACACAGGATAAAAAAGGGAAGGGAGAGGGGCTAGACTGGAAATACAACTCTGTAAGGTATAGTTCTAGTCTGGACACAGGATTAGACAAAACAGGAGTAAAACTAGCATAAGCAAGCATAAAGAAAATATGCTTTGGTTCAATATTTTATGAATATGGTGTGAGTATCACATGACATTAAATATTTACTGTAATGGAAAGGTGAAGGTTGTTGGCTGAAAAGAGCAAGCTGTGGAACAGTGGACAGTGATATTTCATTTTAATAATTAATCCATACATGCACACACACAAGGAGCTAGGATATGCAGGCTCATGTCTGGTGGGCACAAGTACCATGTTTACTTTGTTGGTTTTGTTAGTTTGTTTCTAGCTTCCTATAATGCATAATTTGGGCTAAAATTAACAAGAGCTGGAGCAGTTGAATTTCAGGGAAAAAATGCAATGGTGAATAATTACAGATGAAAAACATTTACCTTCATATTTCATTCTCTACAGATCTAATTTAGAAAACAACAAATATAATTGTGGCAAGGTGTAACAGCAAAAATATCTTAGGTAACATATACTTCATAATGCAAAGTAATTATGAGAACATAAACGTCCTCAGACTAAGGAAAAAGATAACCAAGAAAACTGGTAAGATGATCCACCACAAAATAAGTATTTAATGATTCTTTTACCTTCAAATCTTACTAGTCAGAAGAAGTCAGGGCATGGAGAATGAACTGCTGTTGAAATAAACAGTGCTATGTGTGAGGTTCTCCATTGAGAGTACACTTACAGTTTGGCCCTTGGGAGAGCCTTCCTCAGTCAGTTTCTCAAACATCTCTTTAGCTGCCTGGATATTCTGTGTCAGGTAGTCCCCGAACAAAAGAGCATAGGACACTCTCTCCAGGGCCTTAGTATGGTTCATGCCTGCTGCCTTCTGAAGATACCGATATGCTCTTCAAATACAAACAATTAAAAACAAAATTAGCAATATCTGGAAATACCATTATGTATTTTTTCAAGATTACTAAAATATAGCATAAATAATTTCCCTGTTCTATAGAATCCCAACTATATTATCTTTACTGTGTTCCCTTTATAAGTAGGAAACATTTTGGCTACTTTGATTTTACATAAGATACTGGTTCTCTTTGTTGGCTTAATATCTTAGAATTGTCTAATTATACTGATACTAACTCTAAAATGTCTATTAAAAAGTTAATTGGATTTGCAATGGGAAAATTCAGTAACATATGTCTAGAAAATTATCCGATGATATTAAAGTTTTCTTTTTAAACCTTTGCACATACTATTAATAAAAATCAGCTAAAATTAGAGGACAGAACATATTATAATATAGGCATTTGTTTTACATTCTTTCCAAGTGCAAATTCTGAAACTTTAACCTTTACTAGAAAATTACAAAGCAAAAAGCAAGACAACTAACAATTTCTTTTTTAAATGTCATTTGAATTCTGAATGAAACATGTATTCTTTGTTCTTAGAAACTACCACAATAAGCCAATTAATTCCATGTTGCTCACTGTCCATTTCTGTGATCAGTACCTATAACCTTTTAAACTCAATAGGCTCAAATCTGATAAAGCAACACCACAAAATGTCCACATACACACCATATTATGTTTGTCTATAGCTTTAGAAATCCTAGATTTCACAGCACATTGAAAAAAGAATTTAGCTATTTCAGAAATGACCTCTGTTGGGGGGAGAATGGCCCTAGCAGTGCCACCTACTCTCTTTTTTGGCTTTTCTTATTGCTTCCATTGAGGATTTTCATCCCAGTCTGGAACATCATTTCTGCTTCCTGCATTTGCCGTCTTTTTGCAGCCTCTTCTTCAGCTAAAAGGAAAAATGTCAGATACATTTAACTGAGTTTTAATACCACACCAATCATTTCTCAAACATTGGCATGTATTCTTTCTTTTTGGTTAGTCATATGAACATAATTAATGATCTTTCATCTTTCCAAATATGATTCTAAAGACCCATGTTTTAATTGTGTTTTTATCTGACAAAAGCTAACACTTCAAAAAAAAAATTAAAATAATTTAAGAAGCAGCAATATTAAGTGTACTCTGACCTAGTAATTCTAAAACTGTTTATATAATTCTAGTAAAATTTCTGAAGGAGCTTAAGACCATATATATGCTAAGGTCAGTTAAAATCAGAAGGAAGTTATTTAGTAAAAGTCAGACAAAACAGTGCTGTAGACAAAAGACACCTAAGCTGCATTTGAAATGCTATAGATTTTCTGTAAGCAATATTTGATTAACTACACACAAATTAGTAAAATTTTTTTTTATTAAGTAGAGACTTAATATCCGAGTTCTGTACTTATTCCCCTCTACACAGTGATGTAACATTATAGATCTTACACTTACTTTAGGTTTCTCTTAAAGTATTTTGGTACTATACTATAGCATTTTATCAGAAATCTAGAACTCAAAAGGCTTTTGAATATTTTGTTAGGACCCACAGAAGAGAGTCTTTTTGTAATATAAAAAAAGCCTGGCCCTCCCTGGTGGCGCAGCGGGTTAAAACAGCACTGAGAAGCTAAAGCCACTTCCACATGAGTTCGATTCCCACCTGCCCCGGAGGTGACCACATGGCGTGGCAGACCTCTCCTGACCCGCCTGCTGCTCCCCTCAGCAGTGTACTTCATCAATCTGCCTGTTCTGCTCCCCACTCTGTCTATGGTGAAGCTCTCACTGCCCCTGAGCCTCTGGCCTATACCCCAGTTCTGTGTACACAAATAATAAATCTTTTAAAAAAAAAAAGCCTGATGTACTAAACTGGAATACATTCAAAATGGACTATATTTGATGTTATCTCCTAGGAATATCCTAATATACCATCAAAGACATTCTAGAAAAGGTATTTGGTATGTTCAAGGAGGATGTATGTTCAAGATTTTCTGTTGTTCTTTTATAGCTTCAAAGTTTTTCCTTACAACATAGCTTGCCTTTTGAGTCTGCCCCTTTATACTATCATTAACATTTAGGACTGCTGATCGTATTACTTTGGTCACCATAGCTTATTTCATTCAGTATTTTAGTAAAGTATCCCTTTTCTTCTAGCCACTATTAATTTTCACTACACTTCTCTGTTTCTTTTATGGCCAAACGATGTTTTAATTAATTTAGCAGCCTGCCTGAGGGTTTATAGAATGATCTGTGCACACCAATGGAAAACCATCTCTAAATAAGTCATGAATGTGTAAGCTGCCTAGTCATAGCCTGAAATAAAGTTAAGTAAATGCTTGTAGTGAATGGACTAAATAAGTCTTCAACATTCACCATTTTTGACCTAGGTGGGAAAAGAATGGCCAGAAAAAGGCCTTAAAAATGATGCCCAGGCTCCCCCTGGTGGCACAGCAGGTTAAAACACAGCACCAAGAGGCTAAAGCCACTTCAGCATGAGTTTGATCTCCTCCCTGAGGTTACCTACAGGGCGTGGCAGACCTCTCCTGACCCGCCTGCTGCTCCCCTCAGCAGTGTACTTCATCCGTCTGCCTGTTCTGCTCCCCACTCTGTTTCTGAGAATCCTCTCACTGCCCCTGTACATCTGGCCTGTACCCCAGTTCTGTATGCATAAATAAACAAATAAATAAATCTTTAAAAAAAAAGATGTCCAAACAGAAAGAAAAGGAGGAGTGCCTCTGCTGACCAATACTTACTTTCACAAAAACCCCACTTTTCATCTGCCTTGTAGTCGTAGGTTGTAGCACACCACAGTCTGCCATCTTCCCTCCCGTCTGACGTACACTCATCGTATTCCTTATCCAGGAAGAGAAAAGGGAAGTGGCAAGGCTCCCCATGCGCTGTGCCTTCAATGGCGGTCAAAGCTTGAAAGATTAAAGCAAAAAAAAATTAAACATGAGGGACTGCAGTTAGTATTCATGGATACAACACTATGAGTGTCAACTATTAAAGTATGAAGATAAATAATTTTCAGTGGGGAATATAACAGGGCTGTGATGATTTTTTTAAAGCTTACTTGAGGAAGAGTCCATTTAGCAAGACTGGCCACCCTGTATATAAAACTAAGAATTTCTGAGAATCTTGAGATATAATAACTTTATAATGTTAAAAGTCTACTGTAAAACTCCTGCCTGATTAGTGAGTAAAAACTGAGGCAAATATATCTGAATCAGTTCCATTGCTCAGCACAACTACTTTTTCCTACCTGAATAAAATGATGAAAGTCAATTTTCTCCATAATATAAAGTTATACAGGGAAAAGTTATACAGCACTTTTCTCCCCCAGGAAAAGTTAATCGCTCACTTGCTCCTCTGTGATTCTACAGCATTTTATTAGAGTACTAATCAAATGTACTAAGGTCTTTTCTTGACCATACTCTAGCTCCCACTAGACTTTGAGCTTGTTAAGAATAGAGAACTTATCACTAATTTGATCTTATTTTCAAGTATCTCTTCAGTGCTAAAATTATGCCAGGCACTGGAAGTGAGATGGAATCGAGGTGTCTACTATAAAGAACCTACTGCTTAGAACATTACACAAAAATGTGAACCATGCTATGAAAGTAAGCCCTGTCAGAAACAGGGGACTGAAAGGTTCAAACTAGATTCAAACTAAACCTGGGGCATATGCAGGAACAGGGGACTGAAAGGTTGAGGGTGGGTGGGAAAAGTATGTTCATAAGAATCAATAAAAGGGTATGGCACAGTAAAGAAAATTAAAAAGGAGTTCAGCAAAGCAGAACATGTAGCACTAATGCCAAAGTGGAAAAGAGGATAAAGAAGCACAAAGAACCAGCTTAGGGAGGCCCTGCCAAATGTCATTAGGGAGTTTGGACTTTATCCTGAGAATAATGGAAACTTACGTAAGAGTCTTAAGCAGCAGCTAAACTTACATTTTAGTGAGAATGGACAATGGAATGCAAGGAAGCAATAAGAATGTCAGGTGCTAGTGTAAAGGTAGTGAGGGCAGTCTATTTCAGAAGTAGTAATGCCTGAACAGGACAATGGTGTGCAAGAAGTAAATGGACTCAAGTGCTGCTAAGGAAGTAGGCATGATACTGACTGACTAGATGTGCAGATGAGAGAAGAGTCAAGAAAGTTTCCCAGGTATTAGGCCGATGGAAATGAGTAGATGGCTGCCCTTACTAAGAAAGAGAAGTAGGTTTCTGGGTAGTGATGAAACAGATCAGGAGAGAGACAAATTAAGCTTTGATCCTGCTACATTCAAAGTAGCTGTCAAAAACAAAACATCATTTTAGTTATAGCCAAAGAGAGAGTTCTCTTAACAGATATACTTGAAGCCAAGACATATATAAGAATGAGCAAGAGGAATATTAGAGGACCAGAGGCCTAGGGCAGAACCTAGAACCACACAGTATGAGTTCATGTTCATGTTCACTGCCTTTACATGGACAATTTAATTAGTCATCAAAGCTTAATGATTATGAGTATGGGTTCTGGAGTCAGAACACCTGATTCAAACCCAGTTCCTGTTGCTTTGAATTATTCACAAATTGAACCTAATAACAAATTGAACCTCAATACTACTACATCAGGAAATAAAGAGTTCAAGAGATGGAAAATGCTACTACTACTACTGACACGCCAGCTCTAAAAGGCTAATAAGTGTATGTTCTTTTCCAGTGTGAAAAAGAATACAATTTGAAAAAATATTTCCAGTTTTACCATTAGGGAAAAACATCAATCATTACCTGAATTTATCTCTGAACAGAGGCAAATATCTATCCATGTGTTTAAGAAATGACTTTTAATGCATCTTATCATCAAAGCAATCATTAGCAACGACCTCAGAGGGGTCATTTTGGCTAGGATTTTGAAAAAGGCATTCTTGTGCATTGCTGTTAGATACAAACTGGCTTTAGAGATAAATTATAAAACTGCAGTGTGTAAACTTGAATTTCAAATTAAATAATATACAATGATTTAAAAGAATTGCTATTTCTGATAATAGAAATTTTCATTTTATAAACATGCCTGTCATTAAGAGTTTCAATTTGCTGAAACTTATACTTTGCAAGTGGTTCAAATTTATGAATGAATTCTCTTTCATGAGATGGAACTGGGGCAGGATTAAAATTGGAATGAATCACAAGGTATCTGAAAACAAAGGTTTAAACTAACTTAAGCAAGGAAGAACCCATTTTCATGGTTACTGAAACCTGAATTTGGTCAGTTTTCTACTTACTACAAAGTAACTAGAAAAACCTCTTATCAATGATCTTTTCCAAGCAAAACCACAATATGGAAACTGTTACTACCTTTTAAAAACTTGTTTTAAAGTCTTCCAAAAGTTACTGAGACTTCCTAGTTTCAAGTCAATTATCTCAAGTAAAAATCCCTCACAGGGGCCCTACCTGGTGGTGCAGCAGGTTAAAGCAAAGCACTTAGAAGCTAAAGCCTCTGCAGCATGAGTTTGATCTCCGCCTGCCTCGGAGGTGACCCACATGGCACGGCAGACCTCTACTGATCCGCCCACTGCTCCCTTCAGCAGTATCCTTCGTCAATCTGTTTGTTCTGCTCCCCACTCTGTTATCTGGTGAATTCTCTCACTGCCCTGCACCTCTGGCCTACACCCCAGTTCTCTATGTATAAATAAATAAATCTTAAAAAAAAGAAATCCCTCACAATAGTGTTAATTTCAGTTAATCTTTTTTCTCAATGAGAAATTCCGCAAGAATTTCAAAGATATCATTTGAAAAAAGCCAGCCACAAAATCAACCATCAGTTTTAAAAGCAATGGTAACCATGACTCTAGCATAATGAAGTTGATTTGGTTATGCAATTTAAGTTAATGTTAACCAGGATCAAACCAGGCATTTAAATGAAAAAGGAAAATAAATCAACTGTGCAACTATATGTAAAAATTCCTATTTTCTGGATAAGGAATCCTATTTTGACTCCACAATAATGATACAGGACTACAATCTATTTAGACATGAAAGTAAGATATTTAACTTACTGTAAATGAGAGTGTAAAATAAAGAACAGCCTGATTTACATTTAATCTGTACAGATAGTAGTAGAAAATTATTCCTGCAAAGTCCATTAAAATCATTCAAGAAAACTAGAAAAGGTAATCAAAAACAACAACAGGAAAAAGCCCAAACTGAAATCATTCAGTGCTAGCCACAATATCAGTAAATAGGGACTTTCACATTGTTGGGAGGAAGATACATTAAGATAATCCTTTAAAGAGTACATTTAGTATTACCTATTAGACTTCAAAAGATTCATATCATTAGGTCCCATTTGTTTTCACTTGTAGAATATTTACTTACAGAAATGATGTATGCACGATAGTATCTGTACAGGCTGTAATATTGAAAACTTGGAACCAGAAGAACTCAAAGGTCTATCAATAGGAAACTGGTTCTACCAACTATGGTGAAGTCATCACATGGAAGCCTGGGCATTAACACTGTGGGAATCAAAGGTCACTAGACAGAGCACAGGAGCAAAGGCTGAATCTGGGTGCAAGCTTATGTTTCAGTATTAGGCAGATTCTACGGAAGCAACACCAAGTGAAGAAAACATCTACATAAAATGGAAACATACTGGTGAAGGGTCAGTAAGATGAGGAGCAAAAGCTGAGCAAGTATCCAGCAATCAGAACATGAATGAAGCAGAGTATTTAGTGATATAGAGGAAGCCTTTCTAGAGCTAGATTAAAGAACTGATAAGAACTGAAAAGTGAATGAATACAGACAACTCTTCCAAAGAATAAAGGAGGAGAGATGTGATTGGTTGCTGGAGAGTGATTTGTGGCCTCTAGGAGGCTTTACTTCTTAAAATAAAAGATATGACAACACGCTTAAACAGTGATGAAAAGAATGCAAGACAGAAATATGTAAGTGGAGCTAGAATTTGCTTTATTTACTAAATGAAATACCCTGGGAAGACAAACACTTACATTTCCCCATCATTTTTAATAACAAAACCAAAACAAGGCCAAAACAGTCAAGTTCCTGAAAAGTTATCACCTCAAGAAAACCAGAGCCAATGCGACTAATATTTAAATCAATGCATTTTGAGTAACGGAGATTACTCTCTGTAACACAGGTGGGCCTATCTAATCAGCTGAGCGTCTTAGTAGAACAATGATTCCCACAGAGCAAGAAGGAATTCTACTGGCACACAGCCTCTCATTCTGTTTCTCTAGAGAACTCTAATATAGGATTAAGTGAGTTATTTACAATGTGATGTTTTCACTTAACACTGACATTCTTCTAGGAAACACTTAGCTTACTATTCATTCTCATCCTCTTCTTCCTGTTCTCCAGAGCTAAGGGTGACCAAATGATCATTTAGTAATTCTACTAGTGACTTCTGGCGAGATCCCAGCTTTTCTGATGCAGGCACCACTGCTTCCTGAGGTCCTGGGGTGCAATCACGTGGAACAAAACAAGGATAAAGTCAATTAACTAACAAGGATGAACAGGAGTCAGCATCCTTGAAGGCTCAAACCTGAGTTGCCTAACCATGGAGAACAGGCTATAAGAACATCTGCTTCTGGCACTGTTTGATGGGTTTTCTGTTATTTGTGGAAAAACATGCTCCTTTTGAAACTGAGTAGTCTATAATAGCAAATACTGTTATGAATTCATTTCCTTCCTGATGGCTACTTATTCATTTTCAACAAATAATAAACAGGAAACAGTTCATGCAACTGTTTGCCTCTGAAAGGTGGGTCTTTGGCTGGCACATGGAAACGTAGATTTGGGAGAGCTCATACCACCCTAACCAATGAAAGTAACTCACTGTGCCACAACTACTTGTACAAAAAATGTGGTTTACAGTGAACATCTGCTTTCCTTCTAGGAGTATACAATTTTGATACACTCAT